TTTTGTCTTCTAGGAGTATTGCTTTCGTATTGCTTAGAAGTATCCCCCTGGCCGCACAATCTCTCCCGAAGGAGGTATCTTCCGCAATACGAATATGATTGTTGCCGAAATAATTTTTTTCTTCTAAGCAATACGAATTCGTATCGTTTTCGTATCTTCTTGCTTGTAGGACATCTTTTCACCAAAATTTAAGATTATTTCAACGGAATTTTCTTTATTTTTTCGATAAGAGTACCTTGGCTAAAGTGTTGTGAATAAGACCCATAAAATATGTTTATATAAAAAATAACTAAAATTATAAATATTAAATTGTTTCTTCCCTTTTTTAGATATAGAGGGACCATATGCCACTTTTTTTGAGGCGGCCTCAAATTAAAAAAACAATACATATTCTTAATTTTTTTCTTGGTTCGGATACTTAGATATGTTGGCTTTAGTTTTATTCCTTTCAATCTTTCCTAAGTCATCCCCATGTACATATTTTTTTAACTTTTCCGCACTGACCAAAAACGGCGATACCGCCCCATCCATGGGGTAAATACGCCAAGGGGATGGGGCAGATTTGTCATTAGTAAAATAAAAGATAAAATTACAAAAATAAAAACTTATTTTGCTGTGTTATACTTTAATTCATTAAACAAAGTATAATAAACCAGATATTTATTGTTTATTTCACAAAACTTAACAAAAAAATTAAAACAAATTATTACTGATTTTTTCTATATTTTAACCAAATTTTGTTCTACATCACAAGCATTACATATATTTGGCGCATGTGCCCCACGGGCAGTTCTGGGGTTTAGTTTCAATTTTTTTCGGGCTTCAAATTATATTATCGAAAATATTATTATGTCTTATTGTTCACTATTATTGACGTTCTAATTTTTTCTATCACAAAAACTAAAAAAGCACAAAAAGTTCACACAGTGAAATATTTTCACAGCCCTTTGAAAAACAAATAATCATGTCTGCCTCCCATCATATGTAAAGTTAATGTTTCAAATTTTCAGGGATGATAGATAATCGATAAACGAAAACAAAATTTGATAATGCGATAAAATCGATTGCTCAGTTTTCAAGTTATTCGCTATTGGCAGATGTGCCCCTATGGCGTATGATCCCCCTTCTACCCTACAGGCAAATCCCGGTATAACGAATGATATAATGTCAGGCCCTTTCGTTAAATCGAAATATTCGTTATATCGGAATTATTTTTTCTAGTAAATTTCTTTACTTAATGGACAAAAAACCATTCAAATTAATGTATGAAATTATTACTTCAAATTTTATTTCAAACAACTAATAACAACGCACACGTTTTTCCATTTTGAACATCTGAACGGATTGAAAAATTTGTGAAGGATTTTAGTTTTCTAACAACTTTAATTTCCTACTATTTCCTTAACCTTATTTTATTATCTAGAAGATAGAATTAAACTCCTTTGAGGAAAAACTGAACTTCACAATCGATAACTGAGTCTCATGCTGATAATTTCAAAACCCTGGAATATTGCGCCATATTGGGGTATCGAAATAATTTATTTTGCTGTAAAATGTTATTATTCCAATGTATCCCTTTTAAACACTATTCAAGCTAAATTTACCATTAAATTCACATCTAACAGATTTATGCTTTTTAGATTATAATGTAAGGAATTTTGATCGATAGGTCAGATATATAGTATAACTAAAATTAGGAATATGGGCGACTTCTTTCATTTTTACATTATATTCTAATTGCTCAATCAAGTTTTTGATATTAACAATATAAATATAAAATCAAAAACTGGATTTTTGTAGGTATTTTTTCTTTTTATTCGTTATATCGAGTATAAAATTTCTTAAACGTTCGCTATATAAGGTAGTTAATGTTAAAAATTTGGCTGTTCGTTATATGGGATTTTCGTTAAAGTGAGATTCGTTATACCGGGATTTGCCTGTATGTTAAATTTCATCGATATACTCCTATTTTTACGCCAAAAAATGAGCGTTAAAGTAATTTTCTGAAAGGACCTTATATGGGGGGTAGGGTCAATTATGAACCGATCACATCACATAATTTGGCTAGTATAAAACTTACTTTTGTGAAATTTCACAAATGAATTTTGGACCGATACACTTAAAATAAAGTTATGTCAAATTTCATCGCTATACTCGTATTTTTACACCAATAATGAGCGTTTCTGAAGGGGCCTTTATATGGGGGGTAGGGTCAATTATGGACCGATCCACATAAAAATTGGTAGATAGATTTTGGATCACATAAAACTTACTTCTATGAAATTTCTTCACTATACTCGTATTTTTAAGCCAGTAATGAGCTTTAAAGTAATTTTATGGAAGGGACCTTATATGGGGGGTAGGGTAATTTTGGACCGATCCACTTAAAATTTAGTGGAAAGGTTTTGGCTCCCAAGATACTTACTTATTATGGGTCAATTATGGACCTATCCAAATAAATATTAGCCAGCACGAAACGTATGTGTGTTGAATTTCGTCGCTATATTCGTATTTGTAAGCCAGTAATAAGCATTATAGCCATTTTCTAAGGGGGACCTCGTATGGGGGATAGGGCTAATTGTGGTCCTATGTCCGCCATAATTCAGAATTTTATTTTGGAAGTAAAAAAACTGACTTATGCGAAATGTTGTGGCATTTGCTTCATAAACAAAGAATTCGTGAATGTTTGAAGCATTTTACACAATATTCCGGGGGGTACATTCGTATGGGGGCTATGTGAAATCGTTAAGCGATTTTGCCCAAACATTTCTGATCAATAAGAAATATTTTGGGAAAATTTCATCTCAATATCTCTTTTTTTGTGGACGCTATCGTGCCAACAATAGACATACGGACGGACATAGCTAGATCGCCTTAGAATCTTACGAGGTCCCAGAATATATATACTTTATGGGGTCTGTGAACAATATTTCGATGTGTTACACACGGAATGACAAAATCAATATACCCCCATCTTTTTTGATGGTGGGTATAAAAAGTACCAAAAAATCCCCTATTAAAGGTTTTGAAGAACGAAAAGTACCAACGAATCGTTTTGAAGAACGAAAAAGTACCAAAAAAATCCACTTTTATAGATTATCACTTACTCCGGGCTCTACGTACTTAATTTCATACATACTTAACTTTATGTCTCTATGTTCAATATTATAGAAAATTCAAAAAGTACCTTTTGATGAACGAAAATGTCTCAAAAATTCACCTTTTATAAGTTATCACTTACTCCGGGCCCTACATACTTAATTTTACTCTTCTATGTTCATATATTATAGAAAATTCAAAAAGTACCTTTTGAAGAACGAAAAGTACCAACAAATCGTTTTGAAGAACGAAAAAGTACCAAAAAAATCCACTTTTATAGATTATCACTTACTCCGGGCTCTACGTACTTAATTTCATGTTACTAGGTTCAATATTATAGAAAACTCAAAAAGTACCTTTTGAAGAACGAAAAAGTACCAAAAAGTCCCCTTTTATAGGTTCTCACCTAATCTGGGATCTACATACTTAATTTCATGTCCCTAGGTTCAGTATTATAGAAAATTCAAAAAGTACGTTTTGTAGAACGAAAAAGTACCAAAAGTGTTCGCTCCTAATCCGGGCTCTACATACTAATTCATGTTTCTAGCCAACAACAACATTTTTATTTTGGCAATAAGCGTTACTTATAGCTTTTAAATAGCCCTTTAATTGGTGCAAAATTTGATTTTGAAAATTTTTTAATTTCAAAGATTATTGCACAAAAACGGGTGTTCGAACGCTACAAAAATAGAAGTTTTTTTGGCAACAATTCAATTGTCAATTTCAGCGAAACCTGAGGTCGTATTTCAATGGGACTAATTCTAAAAGACACTGAATATGTCGGAAACTTTGAAACGCTAATCCCAGATAGAATATCTTGGTCAAGCGGAACATTAGAGCAAATACCAGTAGGAATCCGTTGCTACACGGATGGCTCTAAATTAGGGGACAAAGTGGGCCTGGGGTTCTATATTGAAGACCCAGAAACAGAAATATACCACCGTTTACCTAATCATAACACAAGTTTCCAGGCAGAAGTACGAGCAATAACGGAATGTGTAAATTGGATTAGAATAAATATGGCGCCCACAGGGCTTAATATATTTACCGACAGCCAGAAGGCAATTTGTGCGATATCAGGTGATAGAATTAAATCTAAGACCGTATTGGATTGTAAGAAAGCTTTAACTGAATACTCTCCCAGAGGTAAGGTTCACATCATATGGGTACCAGGCCACTCGGGAGTAATCGGCAACGAAAGGGCGAATGTAATAGCTTTAAAGGGAAGGGAGCTCGATGTAGTTAACCTGACAAACGCAAAACCATTCGACGCAACAAAAGCTGAATTAAAAATATGGATGAGAGAATCTCATAAGGCCTCTTGGAATAATGAAACGGTGGGTAGAACCACAAAGATTCTATGGGGTGACCCTGATGAGAGCAAGACGAGAAATCTTCTCAAAATGAGCAAGTCTGAGGTTAGTATGATGGTACATATTCTGAGTGGACACACAGGATTACGAGCACATCTATACAAAATTGGACGTGCGAATTCAGACGAATGTAGAGCATGTGGAGAGGACAGTGAAACTCTGGAGCACTTTCTTTGCCATTGTCAGGCATTCGTCGAAGTTAGATCCAAGTATCTTGGAAGTGATGTTATTCCGGAAATAACATTCTTAACCAACACCGATTGGAAGATTCTTAGGAATTACGTCCAGGAAACTGAGTTTCTGAACATGGAAAAATAATACATTCAATGAACAATTTTTTTTTCTTGAATTGGAGCGCACAACAGGCCCGATAGTGGCCTAGGTGTATTTCTTCGGATTTGATGTAGTATACATCCTCCTATCAACCTAACCTAACCTAATTCTAAAATGTTGTTAACTGGTGTCTTCTTAAAATATGTACATACATACATACTATATATTTTTAAATAAAAATTTATGATTTCTTACTTCTGGATGTCGACAAAGATATGACCAATTACTGCGCTGCAATTGTTTTTTAATATGTTCCAATGAAGTGTAATTCTTGATAGATTCCGAATCCCAATTTCCGTGGCAATTTAATTTTGGCCGTGAGTCCATTTCTGCTTACTAAAGTTATCAAAATATACGAACTGAATAATTGAACAATAAAAATAAATAAATAAATGTTTGTCATTTAACTCAATAGTGTTCAGAGCTGCAAATGAATCATTTTTTATTTTAATTCGTGACGAATTACAAAAATTTGAATTAATTCTTTTCACAACAAAAAAGAATTGAATGAAATTTGAATCAATTCAAACGAATTAGACGGAATGGAATTTCAATTCGCTTTCAATTCAAATGAATCTATAAAATAATTACAATGCGTTTCCAACTCAAATGAATTTGTTAAAGTGAATTGCAATTAATTTCCAATTCGTTTTAATTGAATTGATTTTGAAATGAATTGGAACATTGAATTCCAATTCAAATGAATTAAATCTAGGCCAAATGAAAAAATGGAAATTTCTCCCACCAAAATGTTTAAAAAACAAGAGTGTTATATTTGGCTATGCCGAATCTTATATACCCACCATCAAATTGTATGCCGTAAAAGAAATGCTCCTCTGTAAACATCAGGGAGATATTTGTTATAGGGCTTAAGTCAATTATGGACGTGCTCCTTTGAATTAACAAAATATTAATGTTTAAAAATAAAATATTTTTGTCCAATTTTTTAACTTTTAACAGATTGTCGAAAAATTTTTTAATTTTTGCTCATAAGAAACTTATTTACGTCGAATTTCATCGCTATACGCTTATTTTTAAGCCAGTAATGTGCGATAAAGTCGTTTTCTGAAGTTATAATCTTTTATGAGGGAATCGGTCCATAATTGTCCCTACCCCCATATAAGTAGGGACAATTATGGACCGATTCCCTCATAAAATTTGGTAGAGAGATTTTGGTTCATATCAAACTTATTTATGTTGAATTTTATAGCTATACTCGTTATAACAGTTATGACTGTTAAAGCCGTTTTTCGGGGTGCTACTTGGATGAGGCAATGCGATAACGTAGACCGATATTTCTCTTACCAAACAAACCTTATGACATTCCAAACCATTTGACATTCATATGAACACATGTTGACAAAATAGGCAGCATAGCTACAGTGGGCGTGGCACCTCCCATATAAAGAAAATCTTAAATTAGTATATCTGAGAAAATATAATAGCTACTGCAGTATCGACATGAATATTTAGGACGGACTACCAATAGGGGGCGTGGCATCACCCATAGGAATTAAATACCAAAATTCGTTTATCTGGAAAACTATTGGAGTTATAATCTTAAAATTTTGCACGAAGGCCTTTAACATCCATATGAATATTTGCGAGAAAAGTGGGCGGACTTCCATAAGCGCGGTTTGGCACCTCCCATATGAATCTATATATCTTCTATATATATATAAAAACTAGCTAAAACCCGGCGTGCTTTGCTACTCTCGTCGATATAAAATAAAACATTTTCAAAATATATTGATATACATATAAAGAAAATCTTAAATTAGTATATCTGAGAAAATATAACAGCTAGAGTCCTCAAATTTGTTCGGAGCCACTGTAGTATCGACATGAATATTTAGGACGGACTACCAATAGGGGGCGTGGCATCTCCCATAAGAATTAAATACCAAAATTCGTTTATCTGGAAAACTATTGGAGTTATAATCTTAAAATTTAGCACGAAGACCTTTAATATCCATATGAATATTTGCGAGAAAAATGGGCGGACTTTCATAAGCGGGGCTTGGCTCCTCCCATATGAATCTATATATCTTCTATATATATATAAAAACTAGCTAAAACCCGGCGTGCTTTGCTACTCTCGTCGATATAAAATAAAACATTTTCAAAATATATTGATATACATTTTTTGTTCATAAAAATTATATTTTTATTTGTTTGTCACTATCCAAAACCATAAAGTAATAAGACAAAGAAAGTTTGATATTTAAAGTATTTTATTAATTAATGATATTTATGTACATACTAGCTTTACCCAGTGTGCTTTGCTACCCTAAAAGCAGTATAAATAAAAAACCCACTTAACGATTTTGAAGATTCTAACTGCAATAGTTCTCTAGATTTACAATATGTTACATATTAGAGATGCCAAGCAAATTACTGAGAGTTCGCCAATTTCTATCTATCTATGAAAAATTTGAATAATATAATAGTTTCCAAGATATACGAAATTTTGTATTTAATTCATTTATGTAGTGCCAAGCCCCCAATTGAAAGCTCGCCCGTTATTCTCTAAATGTTCACATGAATGTCAGAGTTTTTTATGTAAAATTTTAAGATTCTAGCTCTAGTAGTTTCCAGATATACAATTTTTCTATTTCATTCATGTGGGGGCTTCAAGCTCCCCAGATGAAAGTCCGATCTTTTTCCTCCAAAATATTCAGATGATTATTGAAGTAATTTCTGCAAAATTTGAAGAATCTAGTTGTATTAGTTTCCCAGATAAACGAATTTTTATATTTAAGTCATATGGGAGTTGTCAAGTTCCCCATTGAAAGTCCGCCCGTTATACTCTAATTGTTCAGATGAATGTCAAAGTTTTTCAAGTAAAATTTGAAGATTCTAGCTCTAATAGTTTCTAAGATATACGATTTTTTCTAATTAATTCATATGGGGGCTCCACGCCCCCCATATGAAAGTCCGCTCGTTTTTTCCCAAAATGTTCAATTGAATATTAAAGTAATTTATGCAAAATTTGAAGAATCTAGTTCTATTAGTTTCCCAGATAAATTAATTTTTGTATTTAATTAATATGGGAAGTGCCAAGTCCCCCATTTAAAGTCCGCCAATTATTCCCTAAGTGTTCACATTAATGTCAAAGTACTTCATGTAATATTTAAAGATTCTACATCTAATAGTTTCTCAGATATAAGAATTTTTCTATTAAATTCATGTGGGGGTTTCAAGCCCCCAAGATAAAAGCTCGCCCTTTTTTCTCAAAATGTTTAGATGAATATTAAAGTACTTTGTGCAAAATTTGAAGAATCTAGTTCTACTAGTTTCCTAGATAAACGAAATTTTGTATTTAATTAATATGGGAAGTGCCAAGTCCCCCATTGAAAGTCCACCCGTTATACTCTAATTGTTCAGATGAATGTCAAAGTTCTTCAAGTAAAATTTGAAGATTCTAGCTCTAATAGTTTCTCAGATATACGAATTTTTCTATTTAATTCACATGAGGGCTCCAAGCCCCCCCAGATGGAAGTCCGATCTTTTTCATCCAAAATGTTCAGACGAATATTTAAGTTCTTAGTGCAAAAGTTGAAGAATTTAGTTCTATTAGTTTCCCAGATAAACGAATTTTTGCATTTAATTAATATGGGAGGTGCCGCTCCCCTCATGGGTAGTCCCAAAATGTTAACATGGATGTTAAAGTTATTTGTGCAAAATTTTAAGATTCTAACTGTAATTGTTTCTAAGATAAACGAATTTTTGTTTTTAATTTACGCTGTGAAAATTTCAAGAAAATCGGTTCAGGAGTTTTGTAGTCTATAACGTTCAAACATACAAACAAACACACATTCATTTTTATATATATAGATAAGAATATACAATTTTTTGTAATTACTTCACGTGAGAGACACCAAAATTGAGGACTCTAGCTGTTATAGTTTTCTATATATACAGATTTTAATAATTAGATTTTAGTATTTACTTCATATGGGAGGTGGCACGCCCGCTTTTGCTGAACTCCCTATTTTTGTCCAAAATATTTGTATTTAAACAAAAGTTACTTGTACAAAATTTGGGGACTCTATACGTGGGACCTCGCTCATTTGAAATTTCAACATAAAAAGCAATTATAACTCCTTCCAGACATACAGGAAGATATTTTGAAAATTTCAAGAAAATCAGTTTAGCCGTTTAAACTGATTAAATAAAAAACCCACTTAACGATTTTGAAAATTCTAACTATAATAGTTTTCCAGATTAACAATACGTTACATATGAGAGATGCCAAGCAAATTATTGCAAGTTCGCCAATTTCTATCTATCTATGAAAAACTTGTATTTAATTCATATATGTGGTGCCAAGCCGCCCATTGAAAGTCCGCTCGTTATTCTCTAAATGTTCACATGAATGTCAAAGTTCTACATGTAAAGTTTGAGGATTCTATCTCTAATAGTTTCTCAGATATACGAATTTAATTCATGTGGAGGCTTCAAGCTCCCCGGATGAAAGTCCGCCCTTTTTCCTCCAAAATATTCAGATGAATATTAAAATAATTTGTTCAAAATTTGAAGAATCTAGTTCTATTAATTTCCCAGTTAAACGAAATTTTGTATTTAATTCATATGGGAGGTACCAAGTACCCCATTGGAAGTCCGCCGTTATACTCTAAATGTTCAGATGAATGTCAAAGTTCTTCAAGTAAAATTTAAAGATTCTAGCTCTAATAGTTTCTCAGATATACGAATTTTTCTATTTTATTCATATGGGGGCTCCAAGCCCCCCCCCCAGATGAAAGTCCGCTCTTTTTTCCTTAAAAATGTTCAGATGAATATTAAAGTTCTTCGTGCAAAATTTTAAGAATTTAATGCTATTAATTTCCCAGATAAACGAATTTTTGTTTTTAATTAATATGGGAGGTGCCGCTCACCTCATGGGTAGTCCGCCAATTTATTACCCAAAATGTTTACATGGATGTTAAAGTTCATTGTGCAAAATTTTAAGAATTTAGTTCTATTAGTTTCCCAGATAAACGAATTTTTGTATTTAATTAATATGGGAGGTGCCGCTCCCCTCATGGGTAGTCCGCCAATTTATTAACCAAAATGTTTACATGGATGTTAAAGTTCTTCTTGCTAAATTTTAAGAATTTAGTTCAATTAGTTTCCCAGATAAACGAATTTTTGTATTTAATTTATATGGGAGGTACCACGCCCCCTAATGCTAGTCCGCCTACTTTTTGTCCTAAATGATCATATTGACACTAAAGTGGCTCCGATAAAATTTGAGGACTCTAACTGTTATATTATCTCAAATATACGGATTTTATAATTTCTTAATGTGGGCGTGGCTCATCGCCCACTTGAAT